ATAAGACCCATCCACCACCACTCTCTGGGTGCGGCCCTCCAGCCAGTTAGTGACCCATCTCACTGTGTAGGTGTCAATGCCACAGTCCCCTGGTTTTTTAATGAGAATGGGGTGAGAGACAGTGTCGAAGGCCTTCCTAAAGTCTAGAAAGACTACGTTCACTGCGACACCTGCATCTAAGGACCTGGTTATAGAAGGCCACCAGGTTGGTCTGACAGGACCTGCCTCGAATGAACCCGTGTTGGTTGCCCCTAAGCATAACCTCCCCTGCCGGCCCCTCGTGGACATGCGCCAGGATAACTCTCTCAAAAAGCTTACCCAGGACCAAGATAAGACTCACTGGCCTATAGTTTCCTGGGTCCTCCTTCCTCCCTTTTTTGAAAATGGGAACCACATTGGCCCTTTTCCAGTCCTCTGGCACATCACCAGAGCACCACGAGTGCTCATAAAGCTGTGCCAGGGGTCCCGCCATGACCTCTGCTAATTCCCTCAGCCCTCTGGGGTGGAGATCGTCAGGACCAGCTGATTTAAATACATCCAGTCCCTCCAGAAGTTCCCTGACTAGGTCCTCGCTGACCCTAGGCCTGGGTGTGCCTCCCATGGGGCCTACAGGGGTCCCAGTGGGGGGGATGACCATTTGTCATGAAAACACAAATGCAGTTGCATCAACATAAATGAGAAATTTCGTTTAGTCTACACACGCCCAATGACAGTGCAGTCTACTCAAAGGATCGATGCCCACAAAAGGCTAATTGGCACTGCTACAAGAATGGAGAGCTCAGACTGAAGCTATTGTAAAAACTCTTGGACCTCTTAACAAAGAGACGACTCTTGATTGGGTTACCAGAGTCCGTTACCTGCCTGCATTTCACTATCAGTTAGACACCCCTATGTTGTTGTAGCATGTGCATTAAGCCATCCGATGTTTTTAGCTCTCCCACCTGACTGTAAGCATGGATCTGCAGGAGGCCAGAGGGAGACCTTGCAATGTAGTTTACATTTTATATTACCCAGAGAGATCTTGTTAGGTTTGTTTTACGCGGTACAGGCAGTTTTCAACTTTACGACCTTTGAGTTATGATGAACGGCACTTACCACAGTTATAAACAGGCACCCTGTTTCAACTTCCCAACATCAGTTTTGACTTTCCGACGCTCGATCTGATGAGATGCCCCACCAGCGAACCAGCCCACTGTGTCGTGCTGCCCATCTCCCCACACCGATCCACTGCACCGCCCATCGCCCTGACTCGGGACGCTGAGTTGCTGTTCAGATGCCACTTTTACATGGTGAAACTTTGTGTTTCCAAACTTAAAAAAAAAAAGTGGTGTTTCTTTGGCAGAAAAGCATAAATCTGGTGCAAATGTTTCTGTTTCTTCTTCTAAGAAACGTAGAACAATTACTATGGAAACAAAAATGGAAATAATTACAAGGTCAACAAAAGGTGAAAACAGGGTATCAGGCCTTGGCGCAGGAATCAATCCCCCATTTATAACATTGTTCCTATGCAGTGGTGATGTGGGGGGGGGGTGCGTAGGGGTGCATGTGCACCCCCTGAGAGTGCTAGTGCACCCCCTGACAGGCAGCACTCCCCACTCAGGCGACAGGCGGTGGGGGGGGGCAGGTGGGAGCACTGGTGCCCCCCTGTGAGCACTGGCTGGGGAGTGGGAGCACCGCTGCTGCTTCCTGCCTGCTGCTGCCTGCCTGGTGCAATCGGCCACAGGGGACCCCCCTCCCCCCCCAGTCACTGACTGGTCACTGGGGGGGCACATGTCCCCCTAACTAAGGTGGCACCAGTCGCCCATGTTCCTATGGGAAAATTGGTTCCGAGTTACAATGTTTCATCTTAAGACACAGTTTTCAGGAACCAATTGTGCCATAAGTCTGAGGACTGCCTGCAAAACAGAAACCCAGAGAACACCCAACTGCATTTGTGGCCCCCCAAAAAAGGGGGGGGGGTTTGGCCTTGTTATCTTGGCGGCAGTGGCGGCAGTCCCTCAAAGTTGAGGATGACGGTCCGTCAGGCTTGATGGATCCTCAGGTGACTGAGAAGCCCAATTCTGGATGCACACGTTCTTTGGCAACAGGGGCATGTTGTTGTGCGGGAGAGTGGGATTCACAGCCCTGGGTTGGTCTCTTTGTTATCTGGAGTCCCCTTGATATCGGGGGGGTGCTGATCCCACAGCAAAGATATGCAAACTGGGACATCCCAGATTTTGAAGGTCCATTGCTGCAGTCCCTCAATAGTGAAATGAAGGTAGCGGCAGGAAACATAACTGAGCCTACCCCACAGGCGAGGATTGAAGCGAGGCTGGGAGTTGTGTTGATGGCTGCTGATGTTTTGTTCTCACCCAGGAAGGAAACGATTACAGCTTACGCTGGAGTGCCCAGAGGCAGAAACCGAGGATACAGACCCCCTGGGGAGGGGAGAGGCCCATAGATGTGGAGGCGGTTGTTAACGTTTGAGCCTTGGGAGGCAACTGATGGGCTTCCCACATCAGAGCTGCTTAACCGGTTGGCATGCCATCAGGAA